ATTATTACTGTTACGACAAACACAATAATTAACTTATTGCTATTCTTACCGTAATTGTAATGAATTAAAATTTTCCTTAACTGTTATCTGATGATTAATGTAATAAGTTTTTAATCATAAAAACTTATTAATTTAAAACCATATTTTAACAGTAGGTTTACTAAAACAAAATATTTCTAAAGGTATAACTTAATAAGAAATAAGAAACAAATATTCAAAATAATGAAATAGACAAATAAAATAAAATATGTTCAACAACTACTCTTAAAAAAAATATATATTATACCATTAGTGTAATTGATACTTCTTCAGAAATCATAGTATGATTCATGATTTTGATTCATCATATGATTTATACTTTTTGATTTAAAATGATGAAGGTATGAATGTAAGTCTTTAATCCTTTTTATTAAACAACAGTTGGATTGCTGAAGCATTTTAATTGTATTTAAATATATTGTTTACCATTGGTGTTAGGATTGATTTGACACTTTTCAACAATGTTTTTAAAACCAAAAAGATATTATTGTCACAAAAAGTAAACTCAAACATTTACATCAATATATGATATTGTAAAAGTAATTGTAAAGTATGTCATTGTAATGTATTTAAATTAGATTTACTGTATTAAATTACTGGTGATACTATTGTTAACATAAATGATATAGTTATCAACATTGTTCCTAAAATTCATTGGTGGTTATATTTGAAATAATTCTTTGTCTATATTTTTTGGTAGTTTTCTAGAATAAATACTTTTTCATAAAAGTGTTGGGAAATTAAATATAGAAGAAATTGCATTTTTTTTTAGTTTCTTTTGTGAACTCGAAAGACTTCCTTTATACCAGTGAAATATTTACCACAACGTTTAGACAGTTTACTAGGAGTAAAACCATCACTCCACATAACTTGTATCCATTTTCTCCTCAATTCTATATCTTTCAGAAAACTACCAACAAAAATAAGCATATTAAAATATATGCTATTTATATTTAAAATATAATGTAGGATTTTAGCAAATAATGATTTGTAGCTACTTACACATGAAAAGAAACCCTTTTAATATATCTTTAAGTGCAATTATATGCAAAACAAGATAACATCATGATCTTTATATATCTATATTCTATTTGAAAATCAAAATTTAAACAAAATAATATACATAACAAATAATAAAACTTTAAAAATGTTAAATACATTCACCCTAAACCGATATTATAAATTGTTTAATGCCCAAACGTGACGTCACGCGCTAAAAGATGTTGGCTTCAAAGTTGTGTGAATATTTACTGGTGGTAAGGCGTGTCTATCAGTTTATATGGTCGAAGCTCAAAACGCCTAAAAAATCTGGCCGGCTTTCGCAACTAAATATAATTTCCGTGGTCAAATATCGAGTGCGATCGCACCCGCTTGCCGACCAAGCCTGGTTAGGTATTATTGCCCCCTTCTAAACGTCTTTTTTTTTTTTTTTTGAATTTTCAATTTAGATTATAAAGGTCATTCCTTTTGAAAAAAAAGACTTTTTAATCCTGCCCATATGTATATATATATATATATATATATATATATATATATATATATATATATATATATATATATATATATATATATATATATATATATATATATATATATATATATATATATATATATATATATATATATATATATATATATATATATATATGTATATATATATATATATATATATATATATATATATATATAAACAAAGAGAGAGTGATACAGATATAGACATATGCAGATATATTCAACAGCTATATATAGCTATACTCTTATAATTTTGTTCATAAAAACACTTGATATATGACTGCGTTTATGTTTATAGAAGCAATACGAAGAAATTTGCTGACAAAAGATACCACATACAGCTGACAAAAGATACCACATACAAATTTAAAAGGCAGTTGTGGCTTTTTTTTCTGAAGCTGTAGACAGAAATAGAGACAGAAAAGAAAGAGCAGAAAAAAAGTCCATCCAAAAAACCAGTTCAACAAAAAATCGTGGCTACACTGCCCAATCATTGATATTGAAACCTTTATCTGGATTATCATTACCACGATTTGAACGCTTTATTTTTGATGAACCTGACAAAGTATAATGTTCTCAAAGTCTTGCATGATCTGTTTTATATGTTATATTTTATATTAATTGTATATTTGACATTATTATAAGCTTTACAAGTACTTATATTATTAATGATAAATTTAATGCATTTATTTTTTATATATTTTTAATGCAAATTTATTAACTTGTAAATTATTAACAAACAATATATTATATGAATTCAATAATTGTTTTTTGTTTTTAACTTATGTCTATTTTAACAAAAAGTAAAAAAAAAAAAAACATAACTGACAAACATAATAGATATAATAATTATTTTTATATAATTATATAAAATTTATATATATATATATATATATATATGCATATATATATATATATAATAATTAATATATATATATATATATATATATATATATATATATATATATATATATATATATATATATATATATATATATATATATATATTTAATAAGTAAAATTAGTAAAAATTGATGAAAAAAGTAGTTTAATTGGACAATTTTGTATAGTGGGCGTTTAGTGCAACGTTCGCTGATTGCCAGCGTTGGCCCTAAATCGAATCAATGCTGGCTTGCCGCTAGCAAAACGTTGCTGCGGCAACACTGGCTTGCGTATACTGGCCCGTTAAAAAACCAATCAGCAACCCGGCGCTGGCACGGCGCTGGCGTGCCAGGCCTAGTACAGCTCGGCAGCCAAGCCTGGTTCGCTATTGAGCCAAATAGTGTCTGCTTACTGGGTAGTTTCTCTCTATGCATACGCATGCTTGGGTGCCCGCAGGATATTAATGCTCCAGATAAACTACTTCCACACATTGTGCAAACTCCAAAATTAAGTATGTTTATGCCGAAGTCATTTGAAGAAGCCTTGAAAAAAATTGTTATGGTGGCAGTCTGGGAACAAAGCCCTCAAATATTTGCATCCCCTCCCCTGCCCAAACGTGAGGACACTAATGTAGTAAAATTTTCCGACGACTCCCCCAAAATAATAAATAAAAGAGGGGCTGTACATTTTGCATCGACATATTTGATAAATCGATAAATTTGAATTTAGTTTTAGATCGTTAAGTTAAAAATTTTAGTACATAAATGCCCTCGCGTTTAAGCAGGGGGGCAAGCGTTTCAGGGCTATTTGTTGACAGGTCTCCGCCATCCCAATTTTCTACAGGGTCTCCTCATTTGGTATTGGTATAAGCATACTTAAGTTTAGAGTTTGCACAATGTGTGGAAGTGTCCTATCTACAACATCAAAAAATCCTGGAGGCGCCCATGCCACCCCTTATATACTGGCCCTGAGTATACTCAAGGGCAGTATATAAGGGGTGGCATGTGTGCATGTGCAAAAAGTAGGTTGCCAATTTTTTGAGTCAACAAAAAACAGGTTTTAGCAGTGCAATGGCTAATAGGTCGGAGACCCCCCTACCAGCAAAAAAAAAAAAAAACGTGTCATTAGGGTCTCAAAATCATCCAAATTTTACATATCTTTTAAAATAAAATAGCAAAAGGGCATAAAATTTGCTGATCACCCACAACACCTCACCCCCTCTTATTACGGGGTATGGGTAGCCTACACTCGGCACTGGGGTTTAAGCTTTGTTTTCAATATTACTCTTCTCGCGTGACTCGCTCTTTACGGACTTACTAAAGAGGGGTACCTGAAAAAAAATGTCTGTCTTAAGTATAGTTTATTTTTATTTGATGCGTCTCATTAAACAAAAAAAGTAAAATAGAACTTCACTGGGAATCGAACACGGGTTTTTCTTCTGTCACTGCTCCTAACATTATCCACTCGGCCAAACGATAGATACTTTATACGTTTTTCATCCCCTCCCCCTCCTCCCCGTACTTTTTAAGGGGGTGGGGACTTAAAAGTACGCATGGCAACAGGGGGAGGGGGTGTCAAATTTTTGGCGTACGTACTTTATGGACAACCCTTATTGTGTAAAAAAATTATGTAAATCCGACGCACCATTCACAAGATCTATTAGATTTAGTAAAAATTGCTCAACTAGCCCCGCTCTACCCTAATATATAAATTTCGTAAGATCTTAATAACATTTTAAATAGAAACTTTTTATTAAATTTATCAACGACAGTATTTATGACGAAAGTACTTTTAAATTTCACTATTCGAACAAACAAAAAAATTTAAAAATAAGTTAAATTCATATCAAATTGTGCAACAAATAAATTTATAAGAAATAGTATCTATGGTACTAAAGCCTTAAGATAAATCGCTTATTACGAAATAAAAGCAATTTAAGAAAGCTAATAGCTGGAAAACGTTTAGGTGAAAAACGTTATTAAAACTAACGTTTTTTCTAAATTTCTTCATTGATCTTCAAAAAATCAATAACGTTTATATATTATATTATAATATTTATTTATTAATATATGATATATAATAATAAATTATATATCATATTTATATAATATTTATATAATAAATTATATATTAATAAATTATCTACATTATTAGCACGCTTTGTAAAGTCAGCTTCGAATATTATTACCTTTTGGCGTTTTAAAAAAAAAACTGTTGATATAGAAATAAAAAAGATAAAAAAATAAAATCCCGATTTAAAATATTTTCATCTAAGTAAAGAAATTTTAATAGATTTAAAAAAAAAATTCGTAATACGAATTAAGTAGGATGTGAATTATTATTATATATTCACTAACTATATATCCGGTTTTACGTCTGTTTTGCAGTTGTTAAGAAGCGTGTAATAACATTTAAGCGGTTCAATGAACCAATCAAAAAATTTATATGCGTATAGAGAATATTTAAACCAATTAAAAACGTTTTAAAACTTAACACCTGCGTTAAAAAAAAATAATCTTATGAAATTCGAAGTTCACATTTCGTCATCTTTTTTTTTTTAAAGAAAAAGCTATAAATAAAGAATAAAATAATATTCATAATGAATTAAAGAATCTAATACAATATTTTTGTAAAACTATGGCAGTTATAGAAGATATCCTAAAAGTTCAAGGCTGTATAAATATATTTGGTTACGGTTCTTTAATATGGAATCCAGATGTTGATTATGACTGCTCATATCTTGGCTACATTAGTGGTTACGAAAGAAGGTTTTGGCAAGGAAGCACATATCATAGAGGGACATTAGAACAACCTGGTCGGGTGCTTACCATGACCAAAGTAAATGAGGTATTAATAACTTGATGTATGATTTCTTAAAAAATAGCTTTTGAGCTTAAATTTTTTTTTTTACACATTTTTTTTTTGAAGGGCCGCTGTTGGGGCAGAGTTTTTGTGATAAAAGGCGCCGATAAAGTTCGAAAAGCGTTGGATTCGTTGCAAACTCGTGAGCAACAATTAGGTCATTACGATATAAGAATTGTGCCGGTACATATATTAGAAACTAACGACATTTTATACTCAGTCGTATATTATGCAACACCTGAAAATCCTTTGTTTCTCGGCGAATCTTCTTTAGATGAAATAGCTGAAAATATTGTACAGTCTTGCGGTGTTTTTGGCCACAATATTGAATATTTGTTTCGACTTACAGACTTTATGCGCGAAAATTTACCAGAAGAAAAAGATGAGCATCTCTATGCTCTAGACAAGCTTGTTCGCTCAAAAATTGGTTTGCTTGCAAAAAACGTCTTGCCATGGCATAAACTTTTAGAAAACGATAGTTTTAGAAAACATATTTACGATATAAAAGAAACAAATTATAACGAAGAAGTTAGTTTGAAAACAATTATTGTTCAAGCATCGTAAATTAAATTTTTTTTAGGTTTTGGAATATACTTTATTTTTGTTTATACTTTATTTTGTGTTACAAATTTTTACTAGTTATTTTTATATTTATATTTGCGTTTATTTAGTTTTTCTAATATTTACACACAACAAGTTTATATATATTCTGAAATAAAAAATTGCATATTTTTATAGCAATCTATCGCGTCGATTAATTAAAAAGACTGTTTTTCTTAAATACATCTTTATACTTATTAACGAAAAAATTTAAAACTGAACTAAAAAATAAATAATTAATTACTCGTAAAATAAGCAAATTACGGTTATTAATTACTTTGTTCCTTTGTATTAATTACTTAAAATGTTGGTTAGTAACGGAAATATTTTGTGACAATAATCTAATACAAAATCTAATAGTTAATCAATTCATTATATATACCGTAAATCGTCTAAGTTCGGTTGCCACGTAATGTAAATAACAAATACGATACGTATTTCAATTTTTCATTTTTTTTTTTCTCGTTGTCACTTCGTACCTAAGAATCATGAAAATTGATAACGTAGAATCATAAAAAAGTGATAACGTAATTGGCTGAGATATCCAAGGGGTGCCAAATGAAAAGAAGGTAATTAAAAAAAAAGGTCCTTCATCGATAATATAAGGAATCTTTGATAAATAAGGGCGCCAATCAGGGTTGCTGTCCCAGTCTGCGTGACGGCTCTCGGCGGCCCTGATTATCGAAATCTAAAGCAATAAGTCTCATAAAAAAGCAATTTACTTTTACATAAAAATATTAATTACTTTTTCAAATTACATTACATAATTTAATAGTTCCTCAAAATGTAATTTACATTTAAATTTAAAAATAATTAATAAAAAGAATATTATATTACCATAATTGTAAAGAAACTTTTATATGAAAAACAATTACATAAAAGTAATAGGCGACCAAATATAAATAAAATTTACTTATAAAATAGTATTATATAAATTGTCATTTTTCGTTTTATAAGTAAAAAAAATTGTTGTAAAAAATAAATTATTTAAAGAAAAAAATTCTATTACATAAGCTTATATTTTATATAATTTTTAAAGTAAACTTAAAATAATTTATATTTTATAAGTAAGTAAATTTACTTATACTCTAAAATAAAATAGAGAGGATGTTGGGCAACCGAGTTGAAATGCAAAAAGTACAACTTGCATCAAAGTAACTAACATTTAGTTTTTTTTTCTCTTGTAAATTTTGATGTACCAGTATTCGGTTTAAAGGCATCAAAATGCTGGCGATTAAAACCATTCTTACTCCCGGTCCATGACTATATTGGGCATTACTAGACTATATGATGGTGGGTAGGTTTAGGCAGCGGCCATAAAATATTCAAAAGGACCTTTTTTTTAAATTCTTAAATCACTTTAGATATTATAGCACTTAAAAAAAGGAAGCTACTTTAAAAATAACCCCGGGCAACAAACAATCTTAATCCGGTTATGGTTTTAGCTATGTAAATTATTCTTTGAGCTAAGCCGTATTACAAACTTTCTTGAGTGAAGATGGTGTTGATAGAAAACATTGTTTTGAAGATGAAGATGAGGCTTACGATTTTGGTCTCCGTCAAAATTTGGCAGTGGCAATACGGCGCATATACCCTGGTAGATGCAGAAATGGTGGAAAGACATAACGAAGAGAGAATTGGTGTCGCGATATAGAAGGAAACGTCAATAGGACCACGGAGTCTTTAATAATATTGCTGGATTAAGGTGTGGCTAGAGTGGTTATAGCCCTGGGCGCCGCACTTTTAGGAGACCCAAAAATTTTAAGAGAACTGTTTTTTTTTAAATTCAGTTTTAAACTGCGGTACATAAAACAATCCATTTGCTTAAATAGCCCCGGAAAAGTCTCAGTCATCCAATAAGGTTGAGGGCTAACGAATTTATTATACGCTTGCAAAAACTGCAGAATAATAGCCATTTATGAATTTTTTTACGGCTAAATAAATGCATCGTGACAACAGTATATCTGAGTTATAGCGCAGTTGTGGGTTTTAAGTATATAAGAAAATCAAAAATATACTAAAATATTACCCAGCCAGCAAATAAAGTTGAAATATCGTTGAAACTAGGGTTTCTCAAACGGGATCCCGGGATCCCGTTTTCCCGGGATCCCGGGGATAAAAGTGGCAGCGGGATTTCCCGGGATATCACTCTTATATCCCGGAATATAATTTTTTTTAAAATAATTTTACATATGATAACTTTGAACTAATTCGACCAAAAATAAGAAAAATATTATTGCATTTAGTTGTGTTTTATGTGTTCATACCTTATATTAAAACCTAGCACAACAAGAAATGCTATTGAAACTATCTTAAACTAAAAAGAAATGCATTGCAATGCAATGTTTTCTTTTTTCTCATTATTATAAAATATGAGTAAAAAATAAAAAAGATTTCTTGCGACGAAAACAGTAAGTTTAATTTTTAAACTTCTAAATTATTGAAAAGTTAAACTTTTTCTGTATCAAATTATTGAAATATTTAATAATTTTTGTATTTAAAAAACGGCAAACAAACACATAAAAGTCATACGTAAGATAACATACATATGTAAGAAATATTTGTAACTTTACTTTTAGTTGTTCTGCGATTCAATTTAGTTATACTATGTCAATTGTAAATGGATCCAAAGCATGGCAGTATTTTTGTAAAGAAAAATCTGGCGAATCTGCAATTTGCAAAAAGTGCAATGTAAAGATAATGTGCAAAGGATTTTCGACCAGTGGGCTCCTACGTCATTTAAAAAACACACATAAAGATTTGGATCTAAATATGAAGCGTCTACTTGAAGATACTGGTTCGGAAAATAAAATTGTGCAAAAGAAAATCACATTGTTTGTTAAACAGCAGACTATCGAGGATATTGTGTCAAAGCTAGCAACGGTGGATGGCTTCTCAATAAATGCCATAACAAAAAGTGAATTCATTAGAAAATCATTGTCTGAAAAAGGCATGTTATTACCAAAAAATCCATCCCATGTTATGGGTATGATAAAAAAACAATATGAATTAGCTAGACAAACTGTGGTTTTAGAGATAACAAAAGAAATTTCGATTTTCTTTATCGTTAGACGAATATACGTCTTTAAAAAATCGACGTTATTTAAATGTAAATTTACACTTATCAACAAAGTTTTGGAACCTGGGAATGACTCCGATAGCTGGATCACTTCCTGCAGAAAAAATTGTTGATCTAGTTGAAAATAAACTGTCAGATTTCAGTTTATCAATTAAAAAGCACATCATAGCTAGTGTCACTGACGGAGCATCCGTAATGAAAAAATTTGGACAGCTAAGTGGTATTGAACATCAGCTGTGTTATGCCCACGGACTTCATTTGGCAGTATGTACTTTACAAAAAGTCATACTCTTCAGCAAAATATATTGAATTTGAATCACAGTTGCAAGGTTCCGATGAAAGTTTGAGTGATTATGATGAGTTTGATGATGTATTTCACTGTAATGATGAGTCATACAGCTCAACAGGCATTACGTTTATTGATGATTTACAAAATAGCGTAAATATAGCCTTAACAATTCAGAAGGTTCGAAAAGTGGTTCGAATGTTCCGCAAATCACCTCTTAAAAATGAAGTTTTACAAATGTACGTAAAATCTATGTTTAATAAAGAGCTTAAGCTGATATTAGATGTCAAAACAAGGTGGAATAGTCTTGTTGCAATGCTAGAAAGATTCCTTAAAGTAAAAACATGTATACTAAAAGCAATGATCGATTTAAAAGAAGTTCTAAATATCTCCGAAGATGAATATGCGATTATAAACGCCATAACAATTTCTCTGCAACCAATAAAAGTTGGAATAGAAAGACTTGGTAAAAGTAATGCTACTCTACTTGACGCAGAAGGTGTAATGATATTCATCTTAGACGATTTGACGGAGAAAAAAAATTTTATAGCTAATAAACTGCTTCAATCTGTGCAGCAGAGAATTGAAGAACGCAGAAATGCCAATTTAATTGGACTACTAAAATTTTTAAACAACCCAATTAGTTATAATCAGAAATCAAATTTCAACTCCAAACTACTCTTACCGTCCAAACATGCATTAAAAACACCTGGTATAAACTTTTTTTTGCTGTACAACAGCAAAAAAAATTTATACCAGGTGTACATAGAGGAAGCTAGCACTAGTTCATCAAATAATGAAATAGTTGAAAAGTGAGTCGTGATAATGAAAGCATGGTTTCTGACCCGTCAATACCGCAACCTGTTGCTCCAAATTTATTAGGCAAAAATATTTTGACACTTGAACAAAAATTGCATGCGACTATTTGTAATGTCAAACAAGTAGAAAAAGCAGCTATAGAAGACATTACCAATTTAAAAAACATCACAAAAGAAATCAAACTTTTTGAGCCAACTAGAAAGCGCAGCGAAAGTCTAAAAAGAATGTATTCCGCATTAATGACAATCAAGCCGACATCAATTGAATCAGAAAGGGCTTTTTCTGCCGCGGGTCTATTTATGGGAAAAATTCGTTCACGATTAAGTGACAAATCAATTGATTGTTTATGTTTTTTAAAACAATATTTCATTTTAAATAGTAATATAGATTAGCGTGCTAAGATAAATTTGTGTCAGAAACCGCTTGTTATTATATTAAAAATTATGCCGGGAAATCCCGGGAAATCCCGGGATAAATAAGTTACACACCGGGAATCCCGGGATGCTAAATTTACGGGAAATGAGAAACCCTAGTTGAAACATAACGTTGAATTTACGTTGATTTAACGTTTAGAATGAAAGTTTTTTTTTCAACGTTGATTTGTCAACGTTAAATCAACGTTGATTCGACGCGAAAAAACGTTACAATAACGTTGAATTTACGTTGATACAAGGTTTAAAATGATAGTTTTTTTAACGTTGATTTATCAAAGTTAAAATGACTATAAAACACTTTTTCATCATTAAAACGTGCTATGTATGTCAAAATGTATATATGTATGTAAACGTGTTATGTGCGTCAAAATGTGATCACCAAACGTACTATGCATGTACATTAGTGTTGCTGTACATTATCAAGGTATATTAGGGATATTAAACCTATTCATAGTCTATACTTAGACTATTTAGAATTTTTTCAGTTTAGTTTAGTTAAAATAGCTAGGTAAGATTAAAGAAAGAGATAAAACTTGTTTTATTGAAAAATATATTTGAATATT